CGGGGGGACCTATGGTTTAAGTAGTCACTTCATTGCCGTATAATATGTGTTACTTAAATCAAACCCAACAAATTTTCATTTTTTGAACAATATGTTATAACCAAAATCTTGGTCCCCTTTCCCCTCGTTCTTACCCAAACACCCTCATATCCCTGTAGTTGGAAGTAGTAGGTGAACCATCCAACTATGTCACGGATTGAGGAACGGGACAGTCTGATAAACATCTCTTTAACATCATAGCTTGCAGAAAGCAAGTCTTCAGTTKGAAGAATGAACCCATTGACCGTAGTTAGAACATATATCAGTTCTTGGGTACTAAAAATATTGAAGTGCAGTTTGGTGGGAAGTGTCTTGATGAGGATGCTAAGGTAAGAGGTGACTCTCTTGCATCTAGCCGACGAGTGTTCAGATGATGTGGGACATATAGGTCGCCACTTCTATGTGTTATTGTACTTAGGAATAGTGTATACTTCCCGAAACCAACTGTTGGAATTCCAAAGACCAATAAAATTGAATCTTGATTCCAGATACTTCGAATGGCAGTCCTTTAAGATCTCTTCCTTACTTTTTGTTAAACCCCAAGTTATCTAGGAAGTATGAATGCATAACAAACTTATAGACTATTGGAGAATAGAAGAAAGTATCACCCTGATTTTGGTCAATCGAGATCAGTCTCAATCCTTCGATCAATTGTTTCATACCTTCGCACTCTCATGCGTCAAAGATAAGGTGCGCATATTGTTCAGTATGATGAGGGAGTTAATAAAAGAGATAGTATGCGAATGGCGGCAAAGTCGAACATGAATTTCATGGGAGTAGGAGATTTCAAACGGGAAGGCAAGAGAGAATAAGGTATGGAGGCATTGAATAATGTATCAGAGTAGGAGAAAATATGTTCTAGTGTTTTTTTTGTTATCTTAGGTCGCAAACATGCTAGACCATAGACTCGAGACGGGGGTGGAACATTTGTATAATTGCGGAGGGAGCAGAGCCAACTAGGAATGAAGTGGGAATCCTTCCCACGAAACACAATATGGTCGTTGACTATTGGGAGTAGAGACAGCAAGTTCGACAATACTTGCATTGGTGAGACCTTAGTTCATGGGGAAGTCGATGGTGAAGAGGGGAGAACTTAGCGAAGTTAGCATAGGATAGGTCGCACAAGGTTGTCAAGGAGGGACAGTGCGAGGAGTACGGAGGGATGAGCCAAAAATGGTATAGTATACAGGGGCAGGTGGTGAAATGGGGGCGAAAGAACACGAGGAAAGAGATGAGTGAGACACAGTATTAGGGGATACAGAGGCAGCCAAAGAAGGAAAGTGTGAGGGGGAAAGGAAAGGATTAAGAGTTGAAGGAGGAGATAAACAAGGGGAAAAAGGAGGGGGAGAAAGAAAGAAAGGAGAATAGAAAAAGATAACGAAGATTGAGTAGACCAGACAAAGATAAAAGAATAAGAGAAGAATAAAGTCGAGGGAAACAAAAGGAGAGACGGGAAAAAATGAACCATGGAAGAATGAGCAAAAAAACAAGAATGAGCAAAAGAAAAAAAAAAAAGGAAGAGAGATGAAAAAATTGAGATCGGATACGAGAGATTAGGATAAAGGTGAAGAAGAAGAAAAATAAAAAGGAGAAGGACGAGGAGGAGGATGAGCAAAGGGATGAGGGGGATAAGGAAACTATGAATATGACAAGGGTGAAGATGAAACATATATGATGATGTCATCCATTGGTGCTAGTATTGCATCGTCTTCTCATGACAGTGACAAACCTCCCCAAGTACATCCATACCCAGCAAGTGAGAAACAAAATGAAAGTTATGTAGCAACTTTGTTAAGTTGTAGTTCTTCGTCCTAACAATTTTCATTCTCCTAGCAAACATTGGTGTGTTGTTTTCTTGATCACACTGGTCGTGGCTGATACCTGTACATTTGCTGTATGACGTCATCACACACAAAACAAACAACAAAGTTAGACTTCGAAATCAATTAAGAACTTGTTTCTTTTTGTCTGCCTTGATTATTTCTTGCTATAGGAGTTGCGTGTGCTGTGGATTTGTTTTTTGTCTTTTAATTTTATTTATCGCGTGGCATCTACACGTTGGGAAAAATTACTTATCTCTGGAAATGTTTGTGTACCTCTATTCTTATTCGGTTCATACGTCTATTCTTTTTACCTATTCCTCTCACTGTCTATGTCGATGAAGAAGGGTGAGAATTGAAGAGTCGTGGCCAAATTGAAGCGAGAAGGAACACTTTGATTGATTTTCTCCACCAGTTTCTCGGTGAGGTATACGACGCCGACTCAAAAAGTGAACAATTAATTCAAGACCAATTCAATCTGCGTGCCGCAGAAAATGAATTGAAAGTCGCAGAGGCAGCTGTTCAAATGATGGAGACCGGTAAGAAGGTCGAGAACCTCATAAAGCAAGGGCGGATGACCCTTGACCGGTATGTCGCCGAGAATCAGGACAAAATGGAACAAGAAAGAAAGAAAAGAGAAGAGGGAAGAGAAAAGAAAGTAGAACCACAACTGTCTGTGGAGATAATTGAGGAGAATGTCAGACAACTAGAAAACACACTGAAAGAAGAAATTAGAAAGATTGAGGAATTCCGGAGATAATGGATGATTTCAGATAAAAGTTTCATTACGAAGAAGCAGACAATGAGTTTAGATCCGTTCTACAGTCTGTTATGGTCTACCTTGTACATCTTGAAAAGAAGATTGATGGCAACACTGCCCTATTAGAGACAATGACAGGACTCTTAAAAGAGAAAGACAAGGTAGGAATTGAGGAGGAAACCAAGGGGAGGTAGTCAAAACGAAACCCCACAAAAAACTCATGAAGGATGCAATGGGGAAAGTGACGCCAAGCAAACCCGAAACCTCGAAGAAAGAATCCGAGGAATCGACAGAGAAGAAAGAAGAACTCACCGTAAAGAAAGAAGAATCGGTCGAAGAGGAAGAAAAATCGAAGAAGAAAGAAAAGGTCAAAATGAAACTGCCATTCACGTACAACAACAAGAAACAAAATGAACATGACATGTGAGAATCATAGTCCAAGATGGACAATCGCTAGTGTCTCAAGTGTTGCACTGTGAGACATGTGATAGCTTGGTGCCCACTTCTCCGAAACCCAAAAGCAAGCAGCCCGTAGCAGTAGGAGTAGCATCTGCTCCCACTGAGTCGAAGGGTTTTGACCAAAGTAAAGGTAAGACGCCTACAACCCTTTTTAACCTTTGGACTCTTAAGGCGGATGATGACTCTTCTTTGACCCATCGTCCAGAGCACCCTGACATTGTTCTTTGCTTTGTCTTACTAGACGATTCCCTTGGCGAACTCGGCAATGAACTCATAGCACTTCGGAGTTCGTGGGCTAAGAAAGCGAAGACTAAGGGTGAATTAATGATCGCAAATATTGAGATTGCACACACGCGAGTAGGTGCACTGTTAGATCCAGGATCAACGCGGTCTTATATCTCAGAGAAGACAATTCGTAAATTGCATCTGGGAATGAAGGTAAAGGATTTACCTCTACCTATCACATCCATACTCGCTGACAAGAGCACGATCACTGTCTCTCAATACGCCGATCGTGTCAAATGTTATTTCAGGACCAAGGAAAGTAAGAAGATCCTACATGAGATATCTTTCCTAAAAGAAAAAAATCTGCCCTTTGACGTGATTCTGGGTATGGATTGTCATGAAGAAGCCGACCCCGAAGTCATGTTCAAAGACAAAATTGTCAAAATAAAGGACGAGAAGTCTGAAACTCGAGTGATGAAGTTGTATTATAGGTCTGACCCTGACTCTACTCTGTCTTTCTGTTGTATGAGTTATCAAACTTTTCGTTCGATGGTACTTAAGAAGAAGTTGGATCACGAGGTGATGATAGTGTTTCTCAAACGAGTAGGTGAGTGTTCTTCATCCTGTTCACCTCCTATCGAAAAACTTATCGACAAGTACAAGAACTTGCAGACTGAGCCGACAGGAAGTACAGAGCGTGCTATCAAGCACACAATTGAGATTATTCCCGAAAGCAAGATTCCCAAGGGTCTCATCTACCGAATGTCTCTCATGGAACTTGAGGAACTTCAGAAACAGTTGCAAGAACTTTCTGACAAGGGATGGATTCGCCATAGCTCATCTCCTTATGGTGCCCTTGTCTTATTAGTGCCTCAAAAGAAAGATAAACTTCAATTATGTATTGATTATCGAGGGTTGAACTCCGTCATTCTGAAAAATGCGGAATCTCTTTTGCAAATTGACGATATGTTGGACCAATTGCAGGGATGCAAGTACTTAAGTAAGATTGATCTCAAGTCAGGGTACCACCTGATCGAGGTGGCTCTTAAAGATCAATACAAGATGACTTTCCGAAAGAACCCTGAGTTATTCCTATAATATTGAATGACTGATGACTTACTTTTCTTTCTAGAT